CTGCATGCAGGTACATAAAGCAGTGGAGTGCAACCATAACAGTTCATCAGATAGTGTACAGTGCAACCATGCTGGTACATCAGGCAGTGTACACCTGGATTCATGGATTGACATATCAAAGGTCTTCGACAGGTTGCAGAGATACAAGGATCATAAAATCAGAAAATTAGAGAAATTAAATTTAGATGTGTATTAAACATTTTTACGTAAAGTATTATTTGAGAAATGCACTTTGCAACCGTAGTCATCAGCAGTCAGACAAAAATCCAATTTAATTTTTACAATTAAGATTCTTTATATTTTATTTCAGGAAGAGTTAAAAATAGAGATTATCTATTAGTCAACTGGAAACTAATGAAATGACGAAACTTATTAAATGTTGTGGAACCAACTTAAAGGGACCGTTCACTTATTTGGGTAGTTTCATAGCTATTCATTGGTATCAGTCTTATAGTTTAGAATTTATAGTCCAATGGCAGTACATAATACTGATCACGTCATTTCCGTCTGTATCACGTGACAACGATACTGCACTGCCATTCCCTGAAGTTCCGGTGACGTAATACGGACTATACGGACTATATGTAATTATAATTAATTATATCAAGTTTAAAAATTAAAATAAAAATTTTAAAATTATGAATTTTTCGTATAAATTTGACACAGTTTTAAAACAATTTCTCGAGACAGGAACATCAGATAGATGTTTTATGTTTATCATTTAACGCCTGAGATTCTCAGGTTTCATCCTGAACCCCCTTTCAGTTTTCCTTTTTTAAAAATTCATGACTACATTCAGAAAAATGGTCTTTTTGAGGTGCAATGCATACTTTGCAAGGTCCTTTTTTTATAAATCAAGCTTCTTTTTGACAATTTCAGGCCTAGAAAGATTTCAAGAAAAGTTTGATTACTTCTATCCGTAGCACTTGTTTTTCTTATCATTTTTCAAGAGTCTTTTCATTTTTCATTTTTGAAAAATTCAAGTATGCTGCTTGAACATTTTTTTATCAACCATGCTCGACAGCTTTTTATCCTTCCCTGCACGCCTAAAAAATAATTTTGCGAAAATATACCCAGTAATTTTTCTTAAAACGTGCCCCGAAGCCCCCTCCCTCCCCCCTCGTTCCCTAACAACAGCCTTTTAAAGGTAAAAGGAAAATATTTTGAATATTTATATTGCTTAAATGTAGCTATTAAGATAAAAAATTTAAATAAATATATTAAAAGGGATTTTTTTATGTTTTAGCTTAGCTCCCTGGATTTCTGGAAGACTATAAATGAAGACTATAAATAAAGACTATAAACGATATCACTAATGATATTTCCAGCAGTTCTGGGTTTTATTGTAAAGAGATATTCCTTTTTATTATATTATATAATATTAGAAAATACTGGGATTTCTTATTTACTTTTTACAATACACGTCCAGGATTATAATATACAGGGTGACCCAGACAAACAGAAAAAAGGTCCTTGGTGAGTCAGACATTTTGTCAGAGACCCTCTTTTATCCATCCATGGCAATTTATTAATGTAAACAACAAAATGATAAATGACGACATTTTTTATTTCCCCCTGCAAGTACTGTAGTTTTCCTGTATCAGCAGAAAATTATTTTATATAATTTCATTCATTCATTCATATTTTATTCAACTACAAAGCACGAGATAATAAAATAACAAATCACAATTTAATATGTAGTTCGGACCCGCCCAACCAGAGTTGGTTGTTTTGATTGGTTGGCACATTATAAGCGAATAAGAATTGTAAATAAATTGATGGATGTACACTGCGCAGTTTACATTTTAAACAAAACAATGATGATAAATCATGAATAAGGTAAGGAGGGGGTGAAAAAGTATAAGGGAAAGGGTGGGTACTCAGCGGAAGGGTTGTAACAGAGGGTAACATACAATATTATAATCATGTTTATGAATTACAGGGTGAACAAGATAGCAAATACTAAGTTTATTCAAATGGAAACCAGTTATTTTTTTACAGATATAACTTGAATAACCATCTACATAGTTTTTGGAAGATTTTTCTTTTAAACAGTTTTGCAGATTTAGTTTCTTTAAGTTCTAATTCAATCGAATTCCATAATTTTGGAAATAAAGCGGAAGGAAAATATTCTAGCGTTTTAAAAAGAACCCGCTCAAGTTTATATGATTTTATTTAGCTATTTCATAATTTATTTAACCAAAATATATTTTATATCATTTATTCAGTTATTTCTTAATTTATTTAAACAAAATATATTTTATATCATTTATTCAGCTATTTCTTAATTTATTTAAACAAATATATTTTATACCATTTATTTAGCTATTTCTCAATTTATTTTAACAAATATATTTTATATAATTTATTCAGCTTTTTCTTAATTTATTTAAACAAATATATTTTATATCATTTATTTAGATATTTCTTAATTTAACAAAAAATTTGGGCCCGATCGGTTCAGCCGTTTTGACGTTTATTGGATACAAACAGACAAACAAACAAACAGACAAGCCAAATTTATATATAGATATCATTTATTCACTATTTCTTAATTCATTTAAACAAAATATATTTTATATCATTTATTCAGCAATTTCATAATTCATTTAAACAAATATATTTTAAATCATTTATTCAGTTATTTTATTTATTTATTTAAACAAATATATTTTATATCATTTATTCAGATATTTCTTAATTCATTTAAACAAAATATATTTTATATCATTTATTCAGATATTTCTTAATTTATTTAAACAAATTATATTTTATATCATTTATTCAGATAATTCTTAATTTATTTAAACAAATTATATTTTTTATCATTTATTCAGATATTTCTTAATTTAATTAAACCAAATATATTTTATAACATTTATTCAGATATTTCTTAATTCATTTAAACGAATTATATTTTATATCATTTATTCAGATATTTCTTAATTTATTTAAACAAATTATATTTTATATCATTTATTCAGATATTTACTTAATTTAATTAAACCAAATATATTTTATATCATTTATTCAGATATTTACTTAATTTAATTAAACCAAATATATTTTATATCATTTATTCAGATATTTACTTAATTTAATTAAACCNTTTCCGTTCTGCCCCCGCACCTGGCAAGGCTAGTGCTTAGTGCCGGCTGATGTCATAGAAAACCAATGGTTTAGTTCAGTTCAAGGCTTTCTAGAGACAATCCTTAACAGTAATATTCAGCTTCAAACTTTTACAATAATTTATTGTTTCGTTAGCGTCTAGTAATAGCGTACATTTTGTTTTTGTTTTTCTTGAACAATCGAAAATACTAAAAAATTTCACATTTTTTCCTTTTTTTATTGTTGAATTTTCAAAACTTGTGAAATATGGTTTTTAAAAGAGACTATTAGAAAATTATTGTTTTTACGGAGCGAGTGATCACTGATCATGGTCCCATTAAATAAGATGTATGTATGAAATGAATTGACACAAATGATTTATCAATCAAATATGTGCAAGTCATAAGCTTGCACTAAATGCACTGAATGCTCTGAATGCACTAAATTCACTGAATGCAGCGATGTACATTTCAATTTTTCAGATAAAAAATATGGATACACGTAGTCCGAAAGATCGTGTTCTTGTAGCTCTAAAAAAAGGACAGTCCGATCGTGTTTTAGGATTAATATCTCAATTCCCAGGTCATTCAAAATCTTTTTAAATTATTTTTATTTTAAGTTAGATACAGGGCTATCCTGAAAAAGAATGAGACTTTAGATACAGGGTGTCCCACGAAACATGAGAGTTGGTAAATAGTTTAGAATGTCTTCTTCCATAATTTGTAAAGTTGTTTAATACCAAAAACAATAACAAAAATATTATGTAGGAGTCATATTATAGTAAAATTAACTTCAAAGTAAAACATGTTTCAGCAAAAGATTTTTTAAACGAAATAGACTGCAAACAGCCTTTAATACCTAATACAGTATATGGAAGAAGACATTCAAAACTATTTACTAACTGTCATGTTTCGTGGGACTGTGTGCATGAAGAAGCTCGGATATATAGGGGTACCCATAATGTATGAGACTTCATTTATTCAGACTCTTTTCTTAATCTATGGTTCCATGCAGCTAAAACTTTTTTTTCTACCAACTTATTTGATATACATGAACCAACAAACTATATTTAGGCCATGGTCCAAAAAATTCTAGTACAATAGATGGCAACCTAGAGTTTGTACACTCTCAGTACAGTTGTATTCTCACGTCACTAGTGCCAACTCAATTTTTGTGTCCGACAAAATGTTTAATAATATTGATAATTTTGACGTCGTGTATTATTGATCCATTTCTCTGTTGGTACCTATTGTACTTGATAATCTATTTGGGCCAGACAACTAAGTTCAACGTTTGAATTGCCAAAACAAAAAAGTGTTTTGTCGTCATTGAATTCTCATCCTTTATGGGAAACCCTGAAATGATTTTATAAACTAAGATAATATGTAAATTTGCCATTCATAAAATAAGTTTACTAGAATTTAAATTTTTGGTCAATAAGTGATTGCATATTAACAAAAATTTTTTGTGCAAATAAATCATTCTTAGTATTCGATTACTTATTTTTTAGAAGAAAAAAGATTAAGCTTCCAATGGAATGTAGAATGTCTTTCAGCTTATTTTTACACTTTGATTTATGAGGAAAAGAGGTAAAGAGATCGAAACTTTAAACAGTCCTGATCAATGAAACCAAGTTTCGTACAATCCCTCTTTTGTTATTGGCTCAGAAATACAAAAAGTGCATTTTTTACACTGTTTTTTTAAAATCTACACAGTTAAAAGTAAGATGGATAGAAACCAACTCAGTCTCCGGTCTGGAGTAAATGGCCGGTCCGGAAATTGTGATTTATACTGATTACTGTATTATAAATATATGTATGTATATATATATGAAGAATGCCTAGCAAATACAATTCTTGATAGAGCAGTCAGGTTAGAGAGGTTAGACAATACAATTCTTCATAGAGCAGCTAGGTTAGGGAGGTTATACAATACAATTCTTCATAGAGCAGCCAGGTTAGGGAGGTAATACAATACAATTCTTCATAGAGCAGTCAGGTTAGGGAGGTTATACAATACAATTCTTGATAGAGCAGTCAGGTTAGAGAGGTTAGACAATACAATTCTTCATAGAGCAGCCAGGTTAGGGAGGTTATACAATACAATTCTTCATAGAGCAGCTAGGTTAGAGAGGTTAGACAATACAATTCTTCATAGAGCAGTCAGGTTAGGGAGGTTATACAATACAATTCTTCATAGAGCAGTCAGGTTAGAGAGGTTAGACAATACAATTCTTCATAGAGCAGCCAGGTTAGGGAGGTAATACAATACAATTCTTCATAGAGCAGTCAGGTTAGAGAGGTTATACAATACAATTCTTCATAGAGCAGCCAGGTTAGGGAGGTTAGACAATACAATTCTTCATAGAGCAGCTAGGTTAGGGAGGTTAGACAATACATGGTATTCCAATAAATATGGAAACTGTAAGACGACTTGAGAGTAGTCCTCGATTTCTGATATTTAAGGCATGTTAAAGAAAGTATAAAACGCGGCTGTACGTGTGACGAGCATTTCATTTCGAAAAAAAGGAATCCTGAGAATTAAAAAACTATTTAAAACTATTTAATATTGTCTTTCTAGTAATTTGTAAGTGGTACCTTTAATTCCTTTACTGTACAGGGTGAGTCACAAAAAAAGTGTGAACTTTTTCCTCTCAAAATCAAAAGAATAGAAAAGCAAAAATGTGTATTCATGTTATTTCAATCAAATTCCTAAATTTGATAAATATTGAATCACAGAATCACAGAAAATTCGCAAAATCGATTTTGATTTTGGGAGAAAAAAGTTTTGCGGATTTTTTTGGGCCATTGCAAAGTAAACAAAAAAAAATCCTTAAAAATATTGAAAAATTACCATACAGGAGAGTTACACAAAACGAGGTACAATTTTGCACCAGACGCCGCTAATTAAACTTTTTTAAACTCACCCTGAATAGATTACAACAATTATAAATATTTTATTGTTCTCTCAAATTCTCTAGAAAATGACGTGAATACTTTTCCAAAAGTGTCCGACTCCGAGCTAATGGAACTACTTTAGATAAAGAATGTATTCATAGACATTTTATCATTTTATCGTTGTAAAAATAATTTGGTTCCTATGTTTACTTTTTTAAATGGACCAAAAATCTTTCACAAGAACAGACCCCTGAACGAAAAATCGGCTTTTTCTCCGGCCACAGTTGTCTTTGAAAAGTAAGACTATTACCAATCAACAGCGAATAGGCTGTTTATTTACCATCAAATTACCCAAATAAGTGAACGGCCCCTTTAAAATATTTCATAAATATTTAGATACGGACATCATGAAGTAGTATCATCCCTGTTGGAGAACGGAGCTGACCCAAACCTGACAAATAAGTTCGGGATGACCGCACTCCATCACGCTGCGGTAAACGGAGATCCACTGGTTATACAGGCTTTAATAAAAGGTAAAGGGGGGAAAGGGTAATTTTGGGCATTTCATTTCGTTCGGAAATCAAATGTGTAGAGAATTTTTTTTAATTTGTAAAACTTCTCAACATTTTGTGGAATCTTTTAAAAGTCCAAAAGTTAAAAGTCCAAATACCGTAAGTCTTAAAATACGAATGAACTCAAATGCCCTATACAAGAGAGGTTGTCAGTGGGTGAGGGGTGAGGGGTTGAGGCACGGGCAGCCGTAGTACATTTGAATTTCCGAGCCGGGTCAACGTTTCCGGTCTGAATTTGTAATGTATCGCCCGGACATTCGATAGGACTAGCCGGTGCAGCAAGGTTGACGCGGTCAGACTTTAGGTAGAATTTACTTTTACTAGAGGGTCACGGGTGCGTTGAGGGACTGTTTTAATCTTAAAGGGACTGTATGCGTAAATTCAAGTGAACCTCCATTCTCGTTGCCCTCTTTGCATGGAGGGTCACTTTTAATTACGCTTACAGTCCCTTATCTGAAAAAATATATATTATATATTTAATATTTAAACATTAAGGAATTGAGTCTTTGTCACAAACTCTAGTTTTATTATCCCTATATTTTTAAATCTAAAGTCTAAGATCTTAAATATTTTGAATTTTGAATTATTAGTTCAAATAATCTTATTTTAAAATAGCAGAGGTTACAAAGAAAATTTGAGTTTGTGCCAAAGTCTCGATTCCTATAGTTTCCATTTTGTATATGAAACTATATATAGTGTACTTTATCATTATTACTCACTTCATCGTGAATTTCATAATGAACGTGCTATAAAGTAATCATAGTGCTATAATTTAAATTAGCTGTAAATTATAGCACGTGTGCTTCAAAGTATTGATTGGTTCCCGGATTTTCTCCAAAAAATTTAGGTTATTTCAAATGAAGTTAAAATAAAATTGAAACTAACTTTATATTTTGACTTCTGCTTTGTTTCAAAGCTTATTTTATCTAGAAATAGGCATTGAAATACGACAAGTACATAAACGTTTCATAAAATTACCTACAACACTATTATTTTGGCGTGCTGTACAGTTTTTGGACAGAAATTTTCTCTATATCTCGAAGGTTCTCGCTGTTACGCGAGCCATGCTCCGTAAGTAAAGTTTATGTGATGCCCCTGTGAAGTTCTGAGTTCACCCTGTATATCTGTACAGAAAAGAAGTCGGAAAACTAGTTTGAGAAACTGTATACGGACTTCCTACGCATGCGCAAGATTCCTACGTTGGAGCAGACAGATTCTATTCGTATTACTTAGTTATAAACCGTTTAAGTGTATTGATAATGTAAACTGTGCTTATAATTCTGGGATCACTGCGGTAAGATTCCTTTTTATATATATAAATACCTTATGATTTGTGTTTTCATGGATTTGATGATTTATAATGTAGTGTTGTTAGTTCCGTTCTACAGTTTTTTAATGCTTGAATTGGTTCAGTTGTATCATATGTTTATGAATTCAAAAGCTTTTTCTGTAGTCTATCTAGTTTTATTTTTGCTAGATTGAAGTCTTCACGAATAAAGAATCGGAACTTATCCTGCTTGTCTTTTATTATGGAGAGTGGTCAGAAGATGAAGTCTTACAGTCCAATCCTGAGAAATACCTCACAGTACTTATAAAGCTTTCATAAGGTCTTTAGGAAAAACGCGCAGTCGCGTAACACTCGCCTTTTTAGATTATATTTTCTGTCCAAAAGCTTTATAAAACTGCGAACCAAAATAACGGTGCTATAAATAGTAAACTAAATTTAATGCTTATAAGACCACACTAAACTAAATTCTGGAAAGGTCAATTTAAGAATGATACTGTTAAACCAGGGATATTGTAAAATCTTTGCTTCATTACATGAACGGTTTTGTGACTCCGTAGCTCCATTGATTTGACTTTATGCACACGATAAGAGAAAAGTATATTATTAATCAGGGAATAGGAATAAAGGGAAAGGAAATGGCGCTGGTCTGGCATGAGAAAGCCAGTCGCACTGCTTTGCAGACCAGTACTTTAAACTAACACACACTCTTCTATTACAGACACACTCATGACTACAGTCAAGGAAATTGTAGAACAATGTCGTCGATTATAATTAAACTTGAATAACGAGTAGTTTATTGTAAACTTTAATCAAATTATATTCTTTGCAGGAAAATTTGGCTTTACAGTGTTGACTTAAATATGTAAATAATATATTACATGTATATTAAACTTATTTCTAAGTAAACAATTAACAATAAACAAATGTACTCTCCTAGACTGTACAAATACCGAGATTCTTACGTACTGTATAAACCTACAGTTCACACCTTCGTTTCCGCCCCCTGATATTAATCCGGTGACATATTTTTACCTCAAACATTTTTGTTCTTCTCAATAGTTTGAATTGAAAACGTGCAATTTCCTTTTTTTCAAGTGAGATTCTTCTCTCTAATAATTAATATCTTAATTATTACCCAAATATTTGAAATATTGGTCAGAGGGTTCGCAAGCATCCGAAACAAAATATGGAAAAACAAACGGAGACTGCTCTTTATACGTATAATCATTGAAATCGATAAAATTATATAAATTGATCATCTGTTAGTGTGTATGAATCATAAATATAAATATCTATTTCTTATTGAGAATAAAATGGGTTTTCTCTCCAGGCCTAGTTTCCTCTTTGTATTCTCCTACTGTATTGTTCATCCATGCTTGCTATAAAGATATGGACAGATATATCCTCTACTCCACTAGTCTAGATTAGGATTCAGCTTTATCAATTCTAGTTTATGTATTCAATTATTCAATATCAATCATTAAAGGGACTGTAAGCGTAATTTTAAGTGACCCTTCATGCAAAGATGGCAATGTCAGACGTTATCAATGTTTTTGTTTCTTTTTTATTTCCGGTTTCTATGCGAAGGAGACCTTCATTGTTTACAAGAAGCACTGGATAACATCTCAGAAATAAAAAATTTGTCAAGTCAAGACGGTATTTTCAACATTTTAATGAGATAAAGGTTTCAATGGTGCAGTTACCATTTTTGCATGGAGGGGGGCCGCATGATATTACTCATACAGTCCCTTTAATCACACTAGAACCAAGGATTGTATTGTAAGGAAAGTTATTTCAGAGGTGTACACATCTTTTGTACTGCAGTGTACTGTCTCTGGGCGGTAATGTAAACACAAGACGGATGTCGAAGCCTGAAATGGGATCCATCTTTCACATAAAAAATGGATGAAATATTCTGGTCATAGGAAACTATTATTTGAATTATCAAAATGTTCAAAATTTAATGCTTTTAACCTCCTCGGATACTAAACGAACACTGATGCATCTATTCTTGTTTATAAATTCCGCCCAAAGAGAACTGGTTTCAATATGTACGCAGAGTATACACGACCGCAATAAACTTTCCTTGCCTTACATTCTTTACTAGAACAAAGTTTTGAAGGACGAGAAGGATAAACCTAGAGATATTAGAAGAATAAATAGAAGGATAAACCTAGAGATATTAGAAGAATAAATAAAAGGATAAACCTAGAGATATTAGAAGAATAAATAGAAGGATAAACCTAGAGATATTAGAAAAATAAATAGAAGGATAAACCTAGAGATATTAGAAGAATAAAGAGAAGGATAAACCTAGAGATATTAGAAGAATAAAGAGAAGTATAAACCTAGAGATATTAGAAGAATAAAGAGAAGGATAAACCTAGAGATATGAGAAGTATTAACCAAGAGATATGAGACGGATAAACCTAGAGATATGAGAAGGATAAACCAAGAGATATGAGACGGATAAACCTAGAGATTTTAGAAGAATAAACCTAGAGATATGAGAAGGATAAACCAAGAGATATTAGAAGGATAAAACTAGAGATATTAGAACTTTAGAAGGATAAACCAAGATATATCATAAGGATAAAAATATAAATGGTATTTTATGTGCAGGAGGGGAGTAAAATATGATAATTTATAGACATTATGTCATTTGCCAAACAATCATTTGTCATACAATCATTTGGACTAAAATCATTTGTCCTACAACATGTTGAACTACAAAGAGTTTTTTTTCTACAGAGAGAGGAAATCATCGTTTGTCCTTTTTACACATTATTTGAAAGAGTAAGAACATATGATTGGCAGGAAACATTATGTTTTGCCCTAACTGTAGAACAAGGGATGTGGAGGACAAATGATTAGTAGGACAAATGATTGTAGGACAAATAATTGTAGGACAAGTTGACAAAGCGCCTGGTTTATGTACTGGAGGGGATAATAAAATGATATTTTATGTACGGTGATAATAAAATGATAGTTTATGTACAGGAGGAGATAAAAAAATGCTGGTTTATGTACAGGGGAGGATAATAAAAATGATAGTTTATGTACAGGTGAGGATAAAAAATGATAGTTTATGTACAGGAGGAGATAATAAACTGATAGTTTATGTACTGGAGGTGATAATAAAATGCTAGTTTATGTACAGGCGAGGTTAATAAAATGATAGTTTATGTACAGGAAGAGCTGATAAAATTATAGTTTATGTACAGGAGGTTATAATAAAATGATAATTTATGTACAGGAGGTTGTGATGTAAACCAAGCGGATGATGCAGGAAGACTTCCTCTCCACTGGACTGCAACTAAGGTACAGTTTAGCCTAGAACTTCCGGGATTTGGAAAGAATGTATAAAATGTCGTCTTGACGATTTTTCAATGGGTTTAATACTACTAAACCTAAATCTCATTATTTGTAAAATTAAATAAGTAGCCTTGAAATATGCGGGAACAGTTTTAGAAGGCTTCAAATAATTATTTAAGTGAAAAAGTAAGTTACTGCAGCATTACATTGGTAGTTGGTTTAGAATACGACATTACATTAGTAGTTGGTTTAGAATACGACATTACATTAGTAGTTGGTTTAGAATACATTACATTAGTAGTTGGTTTAGAATACGACATTACATTAGTAGTTGGTTTAGAATACGACATTACATTAGTAGTTGGTTTAGAATACATTACATTAGTAGTTGGTTTAGAATACGACATTTTATAAATTCTATCAATGTATCCGATTCCCAGGTGCTTGGTTAAACTACAGGGTGTCCCAATAAAAATGGGAATTCATTGACGACTTTTATATCGTCTTCGATCCATGCTGCATTTTTTCATAAAAACAATTAATGCAGTGTTGTAGTCTACCATTTTGTATCTTCAAAATTGACGGAGATATTGCAAAAATTTTACAAATTTGCATTTATTTAAGAAATCAATCTTGTAGGTATAGACAACTTTATAAAAACCTCTTCAGACGTACAGCCTCGTTTTTCTACTTTCTTTGCCATGCATTATATATCAGAAATCAAAGACGACATTCAAGTCGTCTCTCAATTCCCATTTTTATTGGGACACCCTGTATAGGAATATTCAAATCTACTCTATTGATCATCTTCACTCATCCTGATCATTTATCTGTATATACAAACTTTGCATTAGTTTGGGATAAAAAGCTGCAGATTATTCTAAAGAAACCACTCCACGCTTCCGTCTTAGAATAAAAAATATATATTCACAAATATATATTTCTGTAAGGTGCAATTATGTTGTATAAGTTTTCATATCTTGACATAAAAAAAAACATTCTTTCTTCCATTATAGATGAAAAACTTCTGGATCACTTTACACAAGTAGCCACTACAGTGGAATATTTTACATTTTCTTTCTGTTTTTGTTGATAAAATATTGCTTAGGATTTATAACTGGTAAATTTCTGGAAATGGGTCTTTGAAAAAAATGTTTGACTTCAGCAAATTTTTGATTAACGGAAAAAATATCGAGTCTTATCTTCTGGATGCAAATGATTTAAATAAAACAGTTTTTATATAATTTTATTAATTTTTTAAATTTTTTGATTATGTTTACACGATAATGTGCTTTTTAATGACCAAAAATGACTGAAGTATTTTTAATTTTTTACTTCGAATAAAATTTGAATTTGAGTAAACCAGGGTTGTTTCACCTATTTATTCATGTATGTGAATATCCATGTACACCCTGTATATACAAGGGAATGTTTAGGTATAGTCTCATGTTTTTGAATACCCCTGTATACCCTGTATATTCAGGAGAATGTTGAGGTATAGTCTCATGTATGTGAATACCCCTGTATCCCTGTATACCCTGTATATTCAGGGGCATGTGGAGGTATAGTCTCATGTATTTAAATACACCTGTATACCCTGTATATTCAGGGGAATGTTGAGGTATAGTCTCATGTATTTGAATACACCTGTATACCCTGTATATTCAGGGGAATGTTGAGGTATAGTCTCATGTATGTGAATACCCCTGTATCCCTGTATACCCTGTATATTCAGGGGAATGTTGAGGTATAGTCTCATGTATTTGAATACACCTGTATACCCTGTATATTCAGGGGAATGTTGAGGTATAGTCTCATGTATGTGAATACCCCTGTATACCCTGTATATTCAGGGGCATGTGGAGGGGGCACGAGAATTAATAAAAGGTGGAGCACTACCAGCAGGAGCAGATAAGGAGGGGTTTACACCCCTACATAGGTAAAAAACTATTTATACTTAAAATAAATAACAAAGATAGAGCAAAAATTAAAAGTTGAAATAGAAGATAGCCAAGCAGCTTGTCGGATATATATATTGTATAGATGTGGACTGGAAGATATGTATATTGTATTGATGTGGACTGGATGATATGTATATTGTATTGATGTGGACAGGATGATATATATATTGTATAGATGTGGAAAGGATGATATGTATATTGTATTGATGTGGACAGGATGATATATATATTGAATAGATGTGGACAGGATGATATATACATTTTATACATTTTGACAGGATGATATATATTGTATAGATGTGGACAGGATCATATATATATATTGTATAGATGTGGACAGGATGATATATATACTGTATAGATGTGGACAGAATGATATATATACTGTATAGATGTGGACAGGATCATATATATATTGTATAGATGTGGACAGGATCATATATATATTGTATAGATGTGGACAGGATGATATATATACTGTATAGATGTGGACAGGATGATATATATATTGTATAGATGTGGACAGGATGATATATATATTGTATAGATGTGGACAGGATGATATATATATTGTATAGATGTGGACATGATGATATATATTCTATAGATCTGGACAGGATAATAAATATATATTGTATAGATGTGGACAGGAGAATATATATATATTGTATAGATGTGGACAGGATGATATATATATATTGTATAGATGTCGACAGGATGATATATATATATTGTATAGATGTCGACAGGATGATATATATATTGAATAGATGTGGACAGGACAGGGGGCGGGCATAACTCTCCTAATTTTGCCTGGCTAGGTTTATACTGTACAGTGAATTTTGTCGAAAAATGTTTCCTTATGACTGAGTTGGTATCATAGAGTACAGTGGGTTTAATCCTAAGTACATCTATTTGTACGGTATTGTGTGGACAGTTAATTTTAATATTTTTCAACAATGAGATATTGTAGTGTCAAAAATTGTGTAAACAACGATGTTTCGGGTTCAGAAATTTTTCATAACATACGAAAAGAGTGGATAGAACAAGTTATCTGGAAGACAAAACACCCAATTTTTATATGCAGTGAACATTTTGACAAAAATTGTTATAGAAAC